GTAAATTTGTAGATAAAAAATAGTTGAGAACATTTTTTTGNAAGCATAATTGACAACATTACAATTCATCACGTTTATTTTTATTCAAGTTTCCTAAACAAATTTTTTTTCCAAGTTGACAAGCTACTTGACGCAGGCAGTTGCCAGAACAACAACAACATCAACAACAACATTATCAACAACATCAACAACAACAACAACAACAACATCGACAACATCAACAACAACATCAACAATATCAGCAACATCAACAACATCAACAATATCAGCAACATAATAAACAACATCAAAGGCGCTAACAAAGTAAATAAAATCAGCATGAATGACAATAAGATGAATAAAAACTTTGTAGATAATATAAATAATAACATTAAGAGTGATATGAACAGCATCAACAATCACATCAACAACATTAACATTGACAACGTCAACAAAACTAACACAGTTTTCAACAATGTTAACATTAATGTAGATACAAATAAATATCAATATAAAAATAATAATCCTAGCTTAATAAACACGAATAATAACATAAAAAACACTAACAACAACATTAACAATAACAATGACATCAACAACCACTTCAATTTTATCGACTTGGGCCATAGCAAGCAAAATGTTTTCAACATTTTAATTGATTTGAAAACAAAAAGTAATAGAAATCAACAACACAAATCAATAAAACTTGCATCAAAATCTACTGAAACACACCAACAACAACATTATCATCATCAACAACAACAACATCAGCAGCAACAACAACAGCAACAATTTAATGACGTTGCCTACAGCTTGTTGATACCGACATTACAGACAAACACGTATTTCTCAAACTTATCACCGTCACCATTATCGTCAGCATCATCAACGTCTTTTTCATCATCGTCCTTGTCTTCATCATCATCTCTGTCATTAGCACCACCATCATCTTCATCATCATCATGGCTCTCAAATGAACCATCCAAGTCTGCTAATAAATCATCCGGCAACTTTAACAACGGCGTAAGCAACAGCAACAATCATGACAACAACAACAACAACAACATGAAAAAGTTCAATAACATCAACAACAACATCAACGACAACATCAACGACAACAAGTTACAACCAAAACTGCAATTTCATTATCAAGCAATCAATTCAGCAATCCCAGAAAAAGCATTAATCATTACTCTTTCTCAAACACCACCACCATCATCATCGCCGTCGTCTACTCAAATGACGTCATCATTATCACCACCTCCAGCTTCACCACTACTGCCACAAAAATCGTCGTCGTCGTCGCCACAAGCGTCACCATCGCCGTCATCATCATCATCATCCTCAAATACCTCCAGCACATGCCACTGGCTCATTCGTTCAGATCCTGGCCAACGACTTGAAATAATTCTGATTGCTTACTACAACTCCAATAACATGACGTCATCCTCCCTGTTGTCCTCATCATCTTCGTTAGCGTCATCATCGTCGATGTCACCATCATCGTCATCGTTTACATCACCAAAAAACGAGGTGAGAGTTGAATATTTTTAGAGTTCTCCGTTCGATCAAGCACTTGCTTTGAAAATTTGCAGTGTTATAGTGTTAAACAATTTTCAGTTTTGTAACGTTTAAAAATTTTTCTCAATAATTCGAAATCAGCATTCCTGTTCTTTAATTAGTTTGTGATCCATCAATTATTATCTCCATGTACATTAGAGAAACAGTTCGCACTATGATGCACCCACCGAGCATAGCGCCCCTCCTGAAAGTGAGATTTTGTTGTAATTTTCTTCTCCTATTTAATTTTGATTTTGATTTTTTATTATTTTAGTCTAAAATAAATTTTTTATCACCAACTTATCAACTTCATCAGCAAAACAATCATTATAGACAAAACAACGTAGAAGTACGTTTTATTGGGACTAAACCGCTTGAAATTACATCTACGTTCACAGCTGTACCCAAAAATTTATGTTACTATTTCAAACCGACTGTTGGGTGTTTCAAAAATTTATGTTACTATTTCAAACCGACTGTTGGGTGTTTCAAACTGTTTAGAAATTTGTATCCACTTTTCCAACGTCTCANAAACCCACACATACAAAACTTTTCAAGCCAATTAATTGATTCAGTAGTGTTTGAGTCCATAAGGATTAATAAACAAATCATGAAACAAACAGTCAGTCATATTTTGTAGCTAATATTATTAGCTACATTTATTCAACCACCTATAGTAATGATACGAGCAACAGCCACAGCAACAACAATATACAACGAGTGACAAATAACAAGAAATGAAAAAATACTGAACATTCCCACAGGTCCCGAAGATTTCAACTCATTGAACGATGGGTTGTTTCGGTGCCAACGAACTAAGTTTTTAAAGATTGTCACAACAACTAACTTTAAAATTAATAGCACAGATAATAGAGATGATAAAAATAACAATAGCAATAATAATAAAAACATTTTAAACAAAAATAGCAAACCAATTGTCAACAACAGCAACAACAACAACAACAGCATGGACGTCTACAACAAAAACTTGAACGGCGCTGAAAAATTGGAAGGCAGTAATTTTGGCAGGAATTTGACGAAAACAGGAAAAAGTTGGACGAACGCCAAAAACGTCAACACTGCCATTCAAAAAAACAACAACTTTAACAACAATTTGAACAACAAAAAGTCAACATCATTATTATCATCTTTAGTGCCATCGTCATCGTCATCAACGCCTCAAATTGCAAATGAGTACCGGATAAAACCGAAAATCAGTGAAGCGGAAGTGCGTCATCAGCATCAATCACCGGAAGTACTTCAAATATGCGTCAATAATGACGACTCATCATCGTCACCATCTGCAGTTCGTTATCTGATGAGCAGCGGAAATGACGTGCATGTGACGTTGACGTGGAGACCCGGCAGACCAACATCCAGGTACCTGCTCAGCGTCAAAGGTTTGTACTTTCTAGGTCACTTTTTTAACTGGTTTGCAATTATAAATATATTTTTATCAAAATTGTTATTTAAAAATTTAATCATTAAATATTACGGCTATTTAATGATATTAATTAGTGAATAGTGATATGATGAAGTAGTTAACGAGGCAATGTACTGATAGTTGAAACAGTTCAGATGATGTCGGGTATCATCTATCGAGGCATGGCCAAATATCATTCAACCGGCTCGCTCATAACTAAATTACGTATATTTAAGTTTTGCTAGTTAGGTCATGAAATTAAATATTATGCATCTAACGGGGACCATTGTCTGCCCTATCCCAGCCACAAATTAATTCTGATATGTCCACCACTGACCACACAACCTCTTCCATAGATTTTTACGAACCTATGTTTAATATTTTTCTAAACAACGGTTTTCAATTTATTTCTGAAATTTTTTTAATCACAATTATTATAATTATTACTGATGATGCTGTTTATGTTCACGGCGCGATTGCAATTTACTGCAAAACAAGTTTGAGATTTACTGTTATTGCAACTACACCTGCTGTTCAATCAAGTAAAATTACTACCACTATAACGCAACAAGTCGCAAGCTGATGCTACTTGAGGTAATACTTGTTGCTTAAATAATGTAAGTAAAAATAATTAGCAAGCAAAGCACGATTAGCTGAATGATGATTCAACTTTTTTTTTAATAGCGATTGGGCAATGCAATGGTGTGATGGTTAAGACGCTTGGCTCTGCTGTTGCAGTGACCTGATTCGAATGCAAATCTGTGCTGCGTTGTTTTAAGCTCATTTACGTT